TTGCCTTGCTTCTTCCAGTCTCAGTGGTAGCATAACACTTTAGTCCTGATGCGAACCTCTCCATCTGGGTGCTGATCTCTTCAATCAGGTGGGTCTGTTTGTTGGTTCTCACCTATGTTACCCTATGCTGAGAAGATCCCAAGAAGGGTCTACTCCCAGGAGGGGCCTAATCCCTAGTTCTTTACCCCCACTTGCCTAAGGATAAAAAGGAACATTTTTCCTTGCCTGAACAACTTTTACTTGAATTCAGTGGGGCCATTTGTTTTGTTTCGTTGAGATCGTGTCTCACTATGTAGTTCAGGTTTGCCTTGAACTCTGGGTGATCTTCCTTCCTTAGCCACCCAAGTGCTGGTCGTGCAGGTCTGTGCCACCATACTCAGCTATATCTAGCTTTTCTTGATGACTGGAATACACATACCCAAAAACCTGAATTGCATTAATCAATCATTTTTATAATAAGTCATTTCCTCAATATTCCATTATTTTTATTTCTGTTCTTATTGAGAATGGAATGGAGGGCCAGGGATTTAGCTCAGTGGTTCTGGTGCCTCTCTCACGAGCACAAAGACTGGAGTTCAATCCTCGGTACAAAAAAAAAAAAAAAGAATGGAATAGAGTCTAATTTTACTTTATTTTCTAGAGTTTTGGAAATTTTAAGTCCAAATGGATGAATCTCTTTTATAAAATGATTTTGTCTTTTCACATTTTTAGCCAAAAATGAAATTAATAGATAATTATTAACCAAAATATTTTTCTGTGTCTTAATTCTGTACTTTCAACTAGTTTTCTATCAACTTTATAGCAGAAAGGGATGAATTTATTTTTACTGAGAAAAATAGCTAGCTGTTTTACAATTCTGGTTATGATAGCATCTTACCAATTATAAAAAATTAAGGGAATTTAACTCCAGCCCTGAAGAAAAGATGTTAAGAATAACAGGCATTTCTGTAACCTGCAAGCTGTCACATCAGTGTTACACTTGAATTGGAAATCACCAAAATTTCCATCTGATTCCCTAATCATCAAACAAAACATAAATTTTTTCATATCTTATTTTTTTTTGGAGAGGAGAGCTATTGCAAGTTGAATTATACTAGGTCCTTTAATAGCCTTTTATTGGATTTAGAATAATTCTCTGTATCCTATTTTGTAAAACAAATTATATACATTGAAAAAAATGAAAGAAATATGAAAATATTTCATCTTAATAATTTCTTTGAAATTGATAGCTGACCTGCATTATAAGAAGTATTAAAGGGAGTACTTTAGCTTGAAATAAAAGAATTGAAGACAGTAAAAGTCCACATGAAGAAACAAAGCAAACAGATAACTATATAAATATAATATTCAGTATAAATGTACTATGTGTTTATGACTCCTTTTTTTTTCAACTGAATTCCAAAATACATGAAGTAAAAATTGAGAGAATTGAAGGGAGATTAGTATAATCCTTCTAGTTGGGATACTATGGATTGAACCCAGTGCATTCATACTGAGGTATAATCCTATCCCTTTTTAACATTTTTTATTTTTAAGACACCTCCCTAATTAGCTAAATTCTGTGGGCTGGGCTCAAACTTGCCTCAGTCTCTCAGAGTGCTGAGATGTCAGGGACACATCACTCTTAATGATTGGATCTGAAAATATATAAAATAGTAAGCCATTGGACTGTGCTGGGGGTGTAGCTCAGTGGCAGAGCACTTGCCAAACATGAACAAGGCCCAGAGTTCAATTCCCAGCACTGCAAAAAAAGAAAAAACCAACCAACAAAGTTTTCTGGGGTGCAGCTGCCTATAGTTCCATATATAGTCCCATATACTCAGGAGGCTACAGTAGGAGGACCTCTTGAGCCTGAGAGTTTGAGGCTAACCTGGGCAACACGGTGATAATGCATCTCAAAAACTTAATTAGAACCAGAGAGCTGGATGTAGGAAGAGGCCAGTCTAGGGGATCAGTCTTCATCACTGAGAGCGGAGCCCCACCCCCGCTCACCGCAAACCCATGGTGAAGGCCCACCCTATTCTTGCCCCGCTGCTGTGTACATAATTTGCTTTCCCTCTCATTTTCTAATGACTGTGGTTCCTCTGCTATCTGTGTCTCCTCAGGCAGAGACCACCGCGACTCCAGCTTCCAGGACAGCCTCGTATTTATGGAATGACAAAAACCGAAGCCCGTTGATAAAAAAAAAATTAGAAAGAAGCCATTTGGAAACAAAGCAAAATGAGATGAAGTTCAGCTATGGTATTAATTGAATTGCACCAGACTGAATGTACTTCTGCTATTAAATCCCCAAACTGTCTCTCTACTTCTGCCTTTATGAGGCTAAATAAAAGTGTGAGATAATGAAAAGATGGAAATAAAGTGTTTATAGATGGGGAGGAGAGGAGGGGGTGAAGGGAGGGCAGGGACAAGAGGAAAAAATGAGAACCAAGACCTGTCATGTAGAGGTACAAGATCCCAACAATGAATGTAACTGTACTGTATCCCTAAAATGTACCAATAAACTCAATTAAAGCTGAAAAAGAAAAGTACAGTTCCTATTCTTTGAGTTCTTATTAGTTTTCTATTGTTGCTGTAACAAATTGCAAACCATTTTGTAGCTTAAAACAACACAGATTTATTATTTTATGGTTCTGTATGGTAGAATTCCAACATGAGTCTTACTGCCATAAAATCAAGGCATCGGCATGGCTACATTCCTTCTTGAAGGCTCTGGATAGAGCATCTGTTCCCTGGCATTTCTAGTTTCTAGAAGCTGCCTACATTCCTTATTTGTGGCCCTCTTCCTTCATCCTCAAAGGCAACAGTATTACACTTCTCTAATAATTTCCCTCATCATTATCTTTTCTCAGACTCTCTCTACTTGTCTCCTGCTTAAGACATTTTTGTACCATGCTAGAGATTGAATCCTTGGTCTCATGTATTCTAGGAAAGCATTCTACCACTGAACTATATCCCCAGTCCTTTCTCTTCCACTTTCAAGTATCCTTGTCATTATACTGGATCCAGAAATCTCTCTCCTAACTTAAAGACAGGTGATTAGCTGTTTAATTCCATCTGCAACCTTAATTCTCCTTGGCCATATAATCTAATATAGTCAAAGTTTCCAGGGATGTGCACATGGACATCTTGTGGGGGGCACTGTTCAGACTACCCCAAGTTCTGTTGAGATTTCATATATGTCCTTACCTCAACTCCTACACCTTTGGTTTTTTTTAGACAGGGTCTTACTATGTAGCCCGGGCTGGCTTCAAACTCACAATCCTTATCCCTTAGCCACCCATATGCTGGGTTACTCATATTCTTATGAATAATAAATAAAAATCTCTTACCTCAGATTAGACCATGCAAACATTTTAAAGGCTTATTTTTGAAATCAACAATTCTTCAACAAACTCTAAATACTAGACAAGAGGTTTCCAATGACTAGTAATATTTCAAAAACTATTCTAGGGAATGATACTGGATTTCCAGATTTTGTTCTTTAAGTAAAAACAAAAAACAAACAGCCCTTCTCCAATATTTATCAATTCTCATCATTTCATAAGAGAACATTTAACACTAAAAAAGATAAAATAATTTTAGAATAATGTATACTACTTTTTGTTTTGTTTTGATTTTTTGGGGTAACGGGGATCAAACTCGGGTCCTTGCACTTATGAGGCAGATGGCGGAACCACTCAGCTAAATCTCCAGCCCTTGTGTGTGTACTTCTTTAGCTTAATAAAAACCAAACTATATTATCATTGTTTATCTAATTTTGCTGATCTTTAACCAGGTTTTTTTTTTAATGTTAGCAAAGTTTTACTAAATGTACAAAAAGAAATAGGCTATGCAGACTGAGTTTGGGCTAAATAAAAGTAGAAAAAGAAGCACACCCTATAGAGTGAGGGCAGGCCAACCATGGAATAAGTAAGCCTTTAAAAATTACCTTTATGTACTGGATCTCAATCTGCCAAATATTAAAACTAGACCCTTATCTCTCACCATACACTAAATTAAAATCCAAGTGGATTAAAGATCTAAATATTAAAACAGAAACACTAAACTTGCTGGAAGATAAGTTAGGCAGAACTCTGGAAGACATTGGCATAGGAAAAGATTTTATGAACAAATCCTCAGTAGTACGTGAACTAGCAGAAAGAATCAACAACTGGGATCTCATCTTATTAAAAAGCTTCTGCACTGCCAAAGAAACCATCAACAAAATTAAGAGACAACCTACAATGTGGGAAAAAATTTCTACCAGCTGCTCCTGAGACAAAGGACTATTATATAGAATATATAAAGAACCCAAAACAATCAGCCCCTCCCCAAGTATAAAGACTCAGTTTAAAAATGGGCATCTGAAATGAACAGACATTTCTCAGACAAAGAAGTAAAAGCAGCAAGTAAATATATGACAAAATGTCCCACATCACTGGTAATATGAGAGATGCAGATGAAAACAACACTGAGATTCCATCTCACCCCACAAAGAATGGCTGCTATCAAGAAATCAACCAATAACAAATGTTGGTGGGGTTGTGGGGAGAAAGGAACCCTTCTCCATGGTTTGTGGGAGTGCAGACTGGTGCAACAACTATGGAAATTAATATGGAGACACCTCAAAGACCTGGGACTAGAGGTTCCATTTGACCCAGCCATCCCTCTGCTGGGTATCTTTCCAAAAGAATTAAAAGAATCATATCATAGTGACATATGCGCACCTATGTTCATAGCTGCACAGTTTTTAATAGCTAAAATTTGGAAACAGCCCATTTGCCCATCAGTTGGAAACTGGATAAAGAAGATGCGGTTTTTCTATAAAATGGAGTACTACTCAGCCATAAAGAATGAGAAATTAGATTCATTCATAGGAAAATGGATACATTTTGACGATATACTCCTAAGTGAAATAAATAAGTCACACATTTGTAAATACCGAATAGTTTCTCTGGTGTGAAAAACTAATAGTACACCAGATCCTAATGGGATAATTAACAACGTGAAATAGGAAGAAAAGGGCTAAAAGTATAGGGAAAGAGGGAAGGGTAGGGCAAAGGGAATAAGGGAAAAGAAAAAAATATGAGAAAATGAAAAAATGGAAATAAAGTGTATATAAATGGGGAGGGGAGGAGGGGGTGAAGGGAGGGCAGGGACAAGGGGAAAAAATGAGAACCAAGACCTGTCATGTAAAGGTACAAGATCCCAGTAATGAATGTAACTGTACTGTATACCTAAAATGTACCAATAAACTCAATGAGGAAAAAATTACCTTTATGTATCATTTTCTTATGAATGAATCTAATTTCTCATTCTTTATGGCTGAGTAGTATTCCATTTTATAGAAAAACTGCATCTTCTTTATCCAGTTTCCAACAGATGGGCAAATGGGCTGTTTCCAAGTTTTAGCTATTAAAAACTGTGCCGCTATAAACATAGGTGTGCATATATCACTGTGATGTGATTCTTTTAATTCTTTTGGAAAGATACCCAGCAGAGGGATGGCTGGGTCAAATGGAACCTCTAGTCCCAGCTCTTTGAGGTATCTCCATATTGATTTCCATAATGGTTGCAAATGGGGAGGGGAGGAGGGGTGAAGGGCGGGCAGGGACAAGGGGAAAAAATGAGAACTAAGACCTGTCATGTAGAGGTACAAGATCCCAATGATTAATGTAACTGTACTGTATACCTAAATGTACCAATAAATTCAATGAGGAAAAAAATTACCTTTATGAAATATTTACCTGTTACAACTATGCCATTGTCCGCATGTGTCAAGGACTGGGGGCGGCTACGAAGTTTACTTTTGAAAGATCTTGGTCGACGTGGTGATGTAGGTGGCAAAGGAATCTCTGAAGATTGGGCCTTGCTATCTTTAATTGACCGAAGGCGTTCATAGAGCTCCTGCAGCTCTTTATTCTGCTGGGTTTGAAGATTTACCACCTCCTGAATATGCCTGAATGAAAATCATGCAGAAAACATTTTAATGGCTCTGACATGTTAAAAATGAGCCAAGAAACATTACACCAGTACAAGTAAAGCGTAATAAGGAATTCATATTAAGCATAATGTGATAGAGTACTTTTACAATTTTAGCATGGGAAATGCCTTCCTAAACATAATTAATCAATCATAAAGAAAAAGGTAATGAACAAATTGTCAATAACAAATCTCTAAAACGTTGTTACAGTGGGAGATGATAAAACAAAATTAAATAAAATAGTTTAACAATATTAACTTTTTCTTGCTAGGCATAGTAGCACATACCTGTAATCCCAGCACTAAGGGAGGCTGACATAGGAGGACCACAAGTTCAAGTCCCATGTAGACAAATGAGCAAGATCCTATTTCTTATGTGGGGGTGCGGGTGGTTTCAAACAGAGTCTCCCTATGTAGTTCAGGCTGGCCTGGAAGTCATTATGTAACCTAGGCTTGCCTAGAACTTATGGTGATCCTACTGCCTCAGCCTCCCGAGTGCTGGTGTGACAGATGTGTGCCACCATAACCAAGTGAGATCCTGTTTCAAAATAAAAAGGGCTGGGGATGTAGCTTAGTGTGAAGACCCAAGGTTAATTCTACAGTAAGACACACACACACACACACACACACACACACACACACACACGCTAACAAACAAAAAAACCTACAATTTATTATAAATTACAAGTTAAAAATGAACAATATATTTGCAATATATACTAATGGCTTAATATTCAGAATATAGACATAGTTCCTGATAATTAAAAAAATTAACAACCTCCTAGAAAAAAGGACAAAGAAAATAAAAAGGTGATTCCAAAGAAAAGGAAATATAAATACCAATAAATATATGATGATATACAACCTTACTATTAATCAAAAGAAAAAACTTTGATAATTTTTTCAGATGGAATCATTATGTTGCCTAGGCTGATCATGAACTTGTATTCCTCCTGCCTCAGCTTCTCTAGTGTCTGGGATTACAGGCACATTCCATCGTGCCCCGCTAATGAAATATTTCTAATTCACCTGTTTAGCATAAAGTTAAAATATTGGTAGTATCCTGTCTCTACTATTGTTTCAATATGAGGAAATAGGCACCTTTCATATATTTTTGTTTGAAATATAAAATGATACAGCTACTTTGGAACACTATTTTATTATTAGTTTAAAATGTATACACCTATTAACTCTGCAATTCTATTTTTAAATAT